CTTTTTTCTTTTTGCTTATGTGGTGCTGAGGAATCGAACCCAGGGCTTCAGGCATGCAAGGCAAGCGCTCTACCACTGAGCCAACTTCCCAGCCCCTATTATTTTTATACTATGTGAAAACAGTAATTCTACTTTGATTCTGCTCCATGGAAATAATCTAGAATGCAAATAGGAACATATATAAAATATTCTTGGTAGTTTTGTTCACAATGGAAAAGTTGAAAACAATTTAACCTCTCACAGAGGACTGATTGGGAGATCTGATGGTGTGTATATATATGTATTCATTTGCTAGAGTTCCTGTAAAAAAAGAACTATACTTTTTTTTTCAAACAAAGAAATTTTGGGCTGAGGTTGTAGCTCAGTGATATGGTACTTACCTATCATCTGTGAATCCCTAGTTTTAATTCCCATACTACAAGAAGAGGAAAGGACAGAAATACATCTTTCACAGTTTCAGAATCTAAAATTGAGGTGTTAACAGTGTTGGTTCCATGCCTGTCTCCTGTGTTTGTGACAACCAGTAATGCTTGGCACTCCTCATTTCTTGGCTTGTATAAACCTAACTCTAGTCTCTTCTTCCATCTTTCCATGGCCTTCTTCCTAGTCTTTTTCTCTTCACATAGTCATCTTCTTACAAAGACACTAATAAGAGATCTGCCCTGTTCCAGTATTAACTTGGCCACCCTTATCCTCAGTGATCCTGTTTCTAAGGGAGCTCACATTCTGAGGAGTTAGAAGCTAAGACTTCAGCATGTCTTTTTGGAAATATGACTCTATGTGATGGAACACTAAGCAGCTATGAATTCTTCCTATTTAGGGAGAACTTTTAAGGAATTGGAAAAATGCTGTTAATAAATGAAAAGGGTAAAAAAATCAAAATTGTGTATCAGAATCTTGCTTTATGAAAATACGTATCATAGAAAGACTAGGTAGAATTAAATTTTAACTCTGGTTAAAATCTGAACACTCAAGTATAAACACTTTGTGAATTTAAGCATTTTTACTTTTTGATTTTCAAATAAAACTAAGGTAACAGGGAAAGTTAGGAATAAATATTATTAATGTTAAAACCTGTTAAAAATTCTTTTTAATTTTATTTTTCAAACAAATGTGAAAAATCTGCAGTAAAGTACACTTGCTTAATCTATAAGATTTTAACATGTTTATGTGTTGTACTGGTATGGTCATATAATCTTCAAGGTTTAAAAGAAAAAGCTTACCGTATGGGAGACAATTGTGACTGTGCAGACATGAGCATTTATAAGAGTGAAAATTTAGGCCCAGTAGCCAAAATAATTGGCCATTTACATTTTCTTTTCAGAAAAAGGCACTAAAGTTTGAAAGAAAGAAGTACATAGCAGAGTCTAGTATTCTTTATAATGAAAGAAATAATTCCAGGCTTTTTGTGTGACTGTTAGATGCTAGATACCAAGTGCTCCGCATTTGAAATTAGCACACATTCTCAAGTATTCTCATTAACTGTTGAAAAATCATGGTGAATAGCAGGAAAGATAACTTAGAACCAAAATGAAAAAGTAGACTTATCTTCAAAAAGAGAAAACTGATTCTGATAAGCCTCGTGTTGAGATTAATCTGAATTCCTAAATAATTGTAAGATTAAATTGTGATGTTAAAGAAGGTAGTATTTAGGATAACTATGGAAAAAGAAGTAATAGACATTGTTTTTATTTACATTAAAAATATATTTGTTGTTTTTGTGAAAAAGACTAGGTATTATTTTCCTGGATTAAAAAGTATTATTTTATAATGGCAAACATTTTATGTTTTTTTGTTTCTTTTTAAGGTTATTGAATTTATGGAAACTTTTGTATTTTCTATTAAACTACAAAATTTGCAAACTGTGAGACTGGTATTTAAGATTCAAACCCAGACTCCCAGAAAGAAAACCATTGGAGAATGTTCCCTATCACTCAGAACTCTTAGCACACAGGAAATGGATTACTGTTTGGATATTATACCACCTTCAAAGATTTCTGTAAGTGATAATAGTCTGCAGTGTCATAACTACTTCCTATTTAAGAATGGTTTAATATATAGATTTTTGTTTGTTGGAAAATGACTGGAAAATTATGGACTATTAGAGGATTAGAAAAGTGCCTGGCTAGAATGGAAGTTTTTACAGCTAATGTTTTTAGTAAAAAATATAAATTAATATATACATATGTGTGTTCTATATGGTTTTTTTGTTTTGTTTTGCCAGTCATGGGGCTTGAACTTGGGGCCTGGGCACAGTCCATGTCAAGGCTAGTGCTCTACTACTTTGAACCACAGCACTACTTCTGGTTTTCTGGTAGTTAATTGGAGATAATCTCATGGACTTTCTTGTCCAGGCTGACTTTGAACCCTGATCCTCAGATCTCAGCTTCCTGAGTAACTAAGATTACAAGCATGAGCCACCGGCACCCAGCTAAATTGAATTTTGTTCTATATATTTCATTATTTTTTGATACCTGATACTTGCTTCTTTCAGCTAACCAGCCAAGCATTGTTATTAAAGTATTTAGAGGGCTGGGAAGGTGGCTTAGTGGTAGAGCGCTTGCCTTGCATGCATGAGGCCCTGAGTTTGATCCCTCAGCACCACATAAGCAAAAAGAAAAAAAGCTGGAAGTGGCTCTGTGGCTCAAGTGGTAGAGTGCTAGCCTTGAGCTGAAGAGCTGAGGGACAGCACCCAGGCCCAGAGTTCAGGCCCCACAACCGGACCCAAAAAATAAATAAAATATTTAGAAATCCCTAATGGTTGATAACATGTGCCATGATGACATTTATAGATATCAATTACAATTTTTATATGATCAAACATAAATGTGCTTTTCAAATTATATAGGATTTATTATACCTCTTCCAGTAATATTTAGGATGACTTGAAATGCTCTTAACCCTGGGAATCACCTGGGAACCCAACACAATAAAATTAAGATTTCTTGTAATTTCTTGTAGTTTTCAAAAGCTTTTCAGATGATTCTAATGTGTAATCTAGCTTAAGAACCACCAAATTGGTGGAGAAATTGGAGACTTAAAAACAAAAACAAACACTAAAAATTACTATATCTGGTCAGAAGAGTTGAACTTTGTGTGTGTGTGTATATTTGGTTTTTTGCCAGACGAAGGGCTTGAACTCAAGGCCTGAGCTGTCCCTGAGCTTTTGCTCAAGGCTAGCTCTGTACTACCTGAGCCACAGTTTCATTTCCAGCTTTTTAGTAGTTAATTGGAGATGAGAGTCTCATGGTCTTTTCTGAATTCCGCAGAAGTGAAGATATTTTCTGTGAAATGGAAACGTAAATGGAGACTTTACATGAATGATTATAGCCAGATTTCATCTGACATTTTAATCTGTCAGAAGTCTTATAAGCAACCTGTATATCTACTGAATGCCAGTTATGAGGGATTCAAGATTGATATCTTGAAAGAACATTTGGACTTTTCTGAACCAGTGGATATGTTACTAAATGTTGATATTATATATTATTGGCTAAGGCATATGATATGCATTGTTTCATGTGAGAAAGTAGATATTCTAATTGAAGGATTGAAGTAACTACACTTATATGCCCATCAACAGTGACAGCTGTTCACCGTGAATATTGATTTAGAGCTAATACTTTTTTCTCAATAGAATTCTTGACTCAACCAATAGTGATGTGTTTGCTTCAGACTTTAAATTTTTGCGTTGAATGATATGAAAGAGACCAAGTTTGCCTGGAGAAATAGCTGACCTTTATAAGGATTTACCTAATGGCTGACTCATTGCTGAGTGACTTAAGTCTGTGCTCTGTCATCCCTGATATGGAGCACTAGTCTGAGTCCTTCCAGCTCATCGTTAAAGAGTCACATCTGTCTCTAGGGTCAGCTCTCTGAACTCTGCCATGCAGTGTCACCCTAAAGAGAGCCTCTCAAGCGCCACCAGATAATGTTTTTCTTTAATTACGCTTCATATTTCTCTCTCCCTTCTCTCTTTCTCCCTCTATTCTCTATCTCTCTTCCCTCCTCTCCCCTTTTCTTTCTTTTCTCTCCTTTCTCCTCTCTTTTCTCAGATCTCTGCCTTTTAAGTAGCTAGGATTATAGATGTAGGCCACAAATGCTTGGCAAAATATTTCATTTTTAATAGTCCTTGGAAAGCTAATGAAGTTTTCTTCCCAAAATGAGGCATGATTCAGGAGCAGAAATCATATTTTCTGCCTTCCTCACTTTTGTGCTCATTAAATGCAGTAAATATATACTTGCCCTTTGGAATTTTTAAGTTTTAAGTGATTATGAAATTAAAACTGGGTATATATGTTGGTACATGCCTGTACTCCCAGCACTTAGAGGCTAATGTAAGAGGACTGTGGGTTCAAGGTTGGCTTGCATTACATAGGAAGACCCTGTCTCAGAAAACAAAAAAGAGGGGCTAGAAGCTTGGCTCAGTAGTAGAGCACCTGTCCTAGCAAGTACAAGGCTCTGAGTTCAAACCTTAGTACAAAATTATTTTTTTTAAAGATACAAAGCCAGGTGCCAGTGGCTCATGCCTATAATCCTAGCTACTCAGGAGGCTGAGATCTGAAGATTCTGGTTCAAAGCCAGCCCGGGCAGGAAAGTCCATGAGATTCTTATCTCTAATTTAAAGAAACAAAAACAAAACCTAGAAAACTGACAGTGGCACTGTGGCTCAAGTGGTAGAGCGCTCACCTTGAGCTGAAGAGCGCAGTGACAGCACCCAAGCCCAGAGTTCAGGCCCCACAACCAACAAATAAATAAAAATAAAAAATATACAGTGTGATGACACACAGCTATGGTCTCAGCTACTTAGGAGAGAAGTAGGAAGATTACAGTATGAGGCCAACCAATACAAAGTGAGCAAGATCCTACCTGAAAAACAAACTTAAAAACCCTATTACTGCCAAAAAGAGAAAAGAAACCTACTTCGAGTAGTTTTTAATTGTTTGAATTAATGTCCTGGAACATAAAGTACATTTGTAAAATAATTTTGGAAAGTAGAAAGATGGTGGCAAACCATTACCAAAGGTTGCTTTGTTTTGTAAGAGTGAACCATATCAATTATTAACAATAAGGAAAATTTGCCATTGTTAGGTCTTTTTATAAGTGTTTAAGCATGGGTATAAAATAATAGCAAAGAACCGTAAAGCTATGGTTTTAACTGTGTTTTGTACAAAATAAATATCTTTTTTTAATATCTCGATTTAAATGCCAGAGGCTTTGTTGCCTAAGCTGGCTTCAAATTCTCAATCTTCCTGCCCACACAGAAAATTTTCCTTTTTTTGGTGAGCAAAGATTTTACTTTATATATGGCTATCAAATAGTTGATAAGTAAAGTTACTCATCCACTCTAATTTAGATTAAGCATCAACTCACTTACTAGAAGTCAGCCTTTCTTTTATCATCATTTTCTACTTTTCCAAGAAGGCATCAACCCAACAGTTCAGATTTGCATATTAATCCATTTTTCATTATCTATCTTTTGATTTTTGTCTTTATAATTTATAGGTTTTATTATCTTTAAGTAGTGGTACAAAGGGGTTTCAACTCAACATATGAATTTATTCATCCAATGCACCTTGATCAGTGTCTTTCCTCTCATCATCCCCCCTTTTCTGGATTTCTTGCAGTATGTCAGTGTTAAAAGAGAATCATGTTTTAAGAAAATTCCCAGGCTTCAATGGCACATACACAGAAAAGTTTGTTTGCTTTGTGGTTGTTTACCAATAAACCAATTATTGCAGAATACAGGACAATTATCAAATATAGAATAAACCTTTTTGTAAAATGTTAATAAGCTAGCTATTCTTTAACTTAATTGGAATCAGTACTAGCAAAAACTTTGGGGTCTATCTGTGCCAATTCCTGGGAAGAGTTGTAATGTTATGTCCTTGTTTTATTCCCATTCTTACTCCTTAGTGTATGAACAATAATGTTTTTGTTTTTGGACAGTTTTTGTTCTCTTGTTTTTACTCCAAGGATCTTAAAATCCACTTAAGTAGGATTCTTTGTGTTGTATTTCACAAACATCATCAGTTTTATTTTGCTGTTGATAAGTAATACTAAAGAGTATGTTTTAATGTTTTCCCTTGCCTCCTTCATTTTTCTGTTTGCCTCAGGTTTTCTTTGACACTTTCCTCATTATTTACTGCCTAGTCACCTTGACAAGCCTCCTCCTTGCCAGCTTTCTTTGGCTTGTTTCCATTTAGAAGAGTAACTCAACTCAATCCACAGTTGTGCTTATGTAATAATACTCTTTGTCTTCTAACTTTGGTAGAATCTTCCCTAATTTCTAAAATTATAAAACGTAACTCCTATCTATAGCTCTTTTGACATGTTTTGTGTTGTTAAAAATAAATGAGCTGAGTGCCAGTGGCTCATTCTTGTAATCCTAACTACTCAGGAGGCTAAGATCTAGAGGGAGGTTCAAAGCCAGCTAAACAAGAAAACCCATGAGATTCTTATCTCCAGTTAACTACCCAAAAGCTGGAAACGGTGCTGTGGGTTAAGGTGGTAGAGCTTTAGCCTTGAACACAAAAGCCTTAGGGACAGTGCCCAGGCCCTGAGTTCAAGCCTCAGTACTGGTGTGTGTGTATGTGTGTGTGTGTGTGCGCATGCGCGTGTGCACACACACACACACACACACACACACACACAGTAATTGAGTCAAGTGCTGATGGCTCACACGTACTACTCAGGAGGCTGAGAATCTTAGGATGACAGTTCAGTCAGCCCACACTTAGAACAGAAAAGTTCATGAAACTCTTATTTTCAATTAACCACCAAATAGCCACAAATGGAGCTATGGCTCAAGTGGTGGATCCTCAGCCATGAACAGAAAAGCTCAGGAACAGTATCCAGGCCCTGAATTTAAGCCCCAGTACCAGCAACAGTAAAAAGAAGTGGTCTAGAGTCATGGCTCAAGTTTTAGAGCATCTTAGAGCAAGTATGAAGCCATAAATTCAGTACCCAGTACTGTAATAATATCATGATTCAATTTTTTATCAACAATTAATCCTTTTGAAAGTTTGTTGGGTTTTTTTGGGAAATGGCCCATTTCTTCAGTAATACTGCTTAGAAATTTAATTTTTTTTCAGTTGTTTTTCGTTGTCACTGATTTTGAAGTTCAGTATATTATTTTCAAAATCTACACAATTGAATTTATTTGTAGAATCTATGTTATTTATATTTATAACCTTTACATAGATATACAGCTTTCAGTGTCAACAGAAATAGCAATACTTTGAAATTTTTTAACCATTGTCCTTTATCTTTGAATTTTTGAAATATCCTTAAACTTTATTATGAAGTACTGAATGATACTTTTTTATGAGATGCAGGTGTGCCATGCGGAACTTGAATTGGGAACTTGTTTTCAGGCAATAAACAGTAGGATTCAGCTACAAATTCTTGAGGCACAGTACCTTCCAAGCTCATCAACACCTCTGACTTTGAGTAAGTATATCTATCAGTCATTCAAATCTCATGTAGTGAGGTACAATTGGAAAAGAGTCAAGAGACCAGTGGATTAAGGTCTGTGCCTTTAACAGAAGTAACTCAGGGATTGGGATACTTCGGCTGACTAGGCCTGATTCACTTGGCCACTCTTAGAAGTGAAGTCTGAGGTTCTACTCAAGGCCTAAGAGGGAATAAAATGTGCTCCTTTTTCTCATGTTGGCACTTTTAGTGTACCTCTTAGGTTTAAAGTATTTTTCTCATTACCAATTATTTTTTATTCTGTCGCATAGTGGGGAAGAATATCCATCTCTACCAAAGTTACAATGATTTAGGAAGGTTTCCAAGGAATTGCTTATTAAACAATTGTTAAATATTTGGAAACCACAAAAAATGAAAATGGCTCCATTTTTCTACCAAAAGAAGGAAACTGTCTGAAGCAGGCAAACATGGTGATGTCCACTACACCAGGAAAGATTAGTATTCAACTCAAGAAGTTGAACAACAAACACAAGGAAAGAAAAAGTCAAGTTTTAAAGAGAAAGTAGAGATTGATAAATGTGGAGACAAGACCAAAGATATAATAAAATCAAAAGCTTTTTTTCTATGAAAGGACCATTAAAATAGATATGTAACATACACCTTTTGTGTATTTCATTTTAAATGAAATTTTATAAATCGAAATTCTTTGTTTTACAGGTTTTTTTGTGAAAGTGGGAATGTTTAGCTCAGGAGAATTGATTTATAAGAAGAAGACACGCTTGCTGAAGGCCTCCAGTGGGAGAGTGAAGTGGGGAGAAAGTATGATTTTCCCACTCATACAGACTGAAAAGGAAATTGTTTTTCTCATTAAGCTTTATAGTCGAAGCTCTGTAAGAAGAAAACATTTTGTAGGCCAGGTTAGTAGTGGGGGGGATTATCTTTATTTTCTGCTTGTAGTTTTTTTTTAATGCATGTAAGCAGTTAGTTAGCAAAAAGGAATACAATATAAAACTATTAAATAAAGTAAGATTCTTTAGCCTCACATAAAATTCAGTGCAAAAATTCTTGTCAGGTATTTTTTGTTTTAGCTTTTGTATGAGTAGTTTAAGTTTCTGAGCTATCAGGCTGATTTTTAAACCTGTGTGTTCAACTTTACCAACCAAGATAAGTTTTTTTCTGCAGGCACTGTCTCATTCTTTGTGGAAGGAGGAACATTGTATATTTAAGTCTAATTTCTTAAGGCTTTAGGTATCACATTTACTTGATTCTGTTTCACCTTCCACTTAATGCTTACCACGAGCACTTTTTATGTGTCATTGAGTGACTTATATTAAATCCCTAGAAAACATCAGTTTTTCATAGTGATTGTAATAGTCTCTAGATAGTCACTACTGTGGTCTGTATTGGTTGATTTAAAAGGTTGGTGGGTTTTGTTTTTGCTTGTACTGGGGTTGGAACTCAGTGTGTCACATTCACTCAGTTTGCTTGCTCAACTCTTTCCCTACCAGGTGAGCCACACCTTCAGCTCAGCTTTTTGCTGGTTATTTTGGAGATAGAGTCTTAGAAGCTTTTTTGCTCAGGGTGGCTTTGCATCTCAACCCTCCAGATCTCAGCCTCCTGAGTTGCTAGGGTTACAGTAATGAGAAATGAGCACTGTTGCCCAGCATTTTTTTTTGGTCAGTTGTGAGACTTGAACTCAGGACCTACACACTGTCCCTGAGCTTTTTTGCACAAGGTTAGTAGTGTCCTACCACTTTAAGCCACAGAGCCACTTCCAGTTTTCTGGTGATTAATTGGAGGTAAGAGTCTCATGGACTTTCTTGCCTGATCTGGCTTTGAACCATGATCCCCAGATCTTAACCTCCAGAGCTGCTAGAATTATAGGCGTGAGCCACTAGCACCCAACTTTGCCAAGCATCCTTTTATCTTCATCTTAATTTACAATTATTTGTGCCACATTTAAATCACATGTATTCTATTGGTATAACAGTCTTACCTAGGGGCTGGGAAGGTGGCTCAGTGGTAGAGCGCTTGCCTTGCATGCCTGAGGCCCTGGGTTCGATTCCTCAGCACCAAATAAGCAAAAAGAAAAAAGCCAAAAGTGGCGCTGTGGCTCAAGTGGTAGAGCACTAGTCTTGAGCTGAAGAGCTAAAGGACAGCGCCCAGGCCCTGAGTTCAGGCCCCACGACTGGGCCAAAAAAAAAAAAAAAAAGTCCTACCTAAGCAAGATGTAACAGTCTAGATGGAGCATCAAATTATATGTATGAATTCTCAAAAATTGAGCCAAGTGCTAGTGGCTCATGCCTGTAATCCTAGTTACTCAGGAGGTTGAGATCTGAGGATCATGGTTCAAAACCAGCCCAGGCAGGAAAGTTTCTGAGACTCTTATCTCTAGTAAACTACCAGAAAACTGGAAGTGGCACCATGGCTCAAATGGTAGAGCACTAGCCTTGAGCTGAAGAGCTGAGGGTAGCACACAGACCCAGGTTCAAGCCCCAGTAACGACAGAAAAAAAAAAGATCAATTCTGACTTCTTTATATGATTTATCAAAAATATTCACTCTTACAATTTTGTTTCTTCATTAATTTGTATTTGGAAAAGAGTTTGAATTCAAGAATTCAAGTAACATTCTAGACAGCTATGAGGCCTATGAAGTCAATTTAATTAAAGTTGTCTGTATTATCAACTATCATGTACAAAGAGTAGGAAATTTACTTTGAGAATTTTTAGGATAACAGTTGTAAAAAGTTCTTTCTGATCACCTGCTCACTATAGCTTCTGTAGTCTCAGGTGTCACCATGATAGCAAATCATATGTGGACTCAAGTTGTCCCCCTCTACCAACTAAAACACTTAACATTACCTAATGTTTTATATATTGTACGATATTATTTAAGGAAAGTTTCTTTATGAAAGTTAAAAAATGCTTTAATACCAATGATCTACTCCAATTGTTTGACTTGGAATAATTAGAAACTGAGTCGCAGAAATGTTAATTCCAAGGTAACAGCATTGTTATGCTAGAGCCAGGGTGAGGATGAAGTTTTTTTTAATCCTTGTCCACCTTGTGTGCATGATATACAGCCATTGTGATATCTTGCATTGACATCACACTTAGTTTTCCCAAGTTCATTTATATTATATAAAGTTACTTAAGTGATAGACACTATGAGCTGGGCCAATAGTCAAGCCAATATGCCCAGCTTCTTCTGTTGAAAAAAAAAAAATCTTAACTTTTCTGCCCAGGAATGATCCGGATCTCTATTTCAGATGCAGCCTCCTATGAAGCTTGGCTGACTGGTTGAAAAGGGGTCTTGTGAACTTTTATGCCCAGCCTTGGCCTCAAGCCACAATCCTTCCATTCTCAGCTTCCCAAGTAGTACTTCAGAGTAACTCACTAGTGCCCAGTTCTCAATTTGAATTCCTTTTTTATTTTTATTATTTTAATTTTTGGCAGTACTGGTAGAACTCAGGACCTCATGTTTAGATTCTTAAAAGGTAGTTAGATCATACAAAAGTCATCAGAATGACTAAATAGGCTGAATGTTTTAACATTTCAATGTCAAAGGAAATTATGCCAATTTTTAGAAAACTAGAAAAACATTTAAAATTATATAAACCAAACTTTACAATACCTTTTATCAGTAATTAACTGTTTGAATGTAGTTATCATGATTATGCCACATGAAATGATGATACTATTCCTTTTCAGATCTGGATAAGTGAAGACAGTAACAACATGGAAGCAGTGAAACAATGGAAAGAAACGATTACAAATCCAGAAAAGGTTGTTATCAAGTGGCACAAATTAAATCCGTCTTGAAGACTTCACACATTAATTTGGTGAAGAAGCGACTTCATATTCACTTAGAAGATTTATGATTTCCATTTTGCTAGAATTCTTAGTTAATTTGATCAGATATCCAAAGAGAGGAAATGCTTTAAAATGGTGCCAACATAGACAATAAAATGAAAAGGTAGTATCAGTAGGATATTAAACATTTTACAAAGTCATGAAAATATCCACAATGGATAGGTATTTCTAGATGGTTTTTGCTTTGTTTCTTTTGCTTAAAATTTCAAAATGTAGTATATCAAATCCCTATCAGTGCCATTAAGCATTTAGAAAACTTCACCACTATTTTTTTTGCTAGGCACATTGACTGGATTTTGGTTCCACTGTTGACATCTTCCTGCAAAATGAACCATTTTTTTATATTTGGAGAAAGTTTGTACCCTGTGTTTATAACTTCTTTCTCATAAGATATATACTTTCATTTTATATATACTGCTTCAAGAAATTTCAGAAAATTTTTGGAAACTTAACGTTTTTTACAAGAATAATGGAAGTGTATTTAGACCCAGAATATGTACATTTTCTTGATTCCCTCCTTCAGTTATGATATAGTTCATCCTAGTTGGTAATTTAAATTGAAATTTTAACATTGTATGAATTTTTTTTTTTTTTGTCGGTTGTGGGGCTTGAACTCTGGGCCTGGGTGCTGTCCCTCAGCTCTTCAATTCAAGGCTAGTGCTCTACCACTTGAGCCACAGTGCCACTTCCGGTTTTCTAGTGGTTTATTGGAGATAAGGCTCATGGACTTTTCTGCCCTGGCTGGCTTTGAACCGCGATCCTCAGATCTCCGCCTCCTGAGTAGCTAGGATTACAGGCGTGAGCCACTAACACCCAGCTTATGAAAATTGTTTTTAAAATATACATTAATTGTCCTTTAATCCATGTTAGAATGTTTCTCCAATTTTCATAACTACATGTTAATGCTATATAGAAAATAAATATTTTTGATTGCAGGTTTCTTTCAGTTACTTATTAGAACTCAGACTGTGGGGATTAAATGCAGCTGTGTTGGCCATAAAACAGCTTTAAGGAAAAACAAAACCCATTATTTATAATCTTGGAATATTTGACTTTATTTTTGCTGAAAAGTAGAACATATTCTCTGGGGGGCTATATTGGGGGGGGGTTGTTTGTTTTTGGTGGTGGTTGTGTTACTGGAGTTTGAATTTAAGGCCTTGTACATGCGAGCAGTCTAGCACTTGACCCATACCTTCTGTTTTTCACAGTTTGTGCAGGGTGGGGAGGGTTTGTTTGTTTGTTGGTGGTGGTTGTGGGGCTTGAACTCTGGGCCTGGGCACTGTCCTTCAGCTCTTCAGCTCAAGGCTAGCCCTCTACCACCTGAGCCACAGCGCCACTTTCAGCTTCCTGGTGGTTAATTGGAGATAAGGGTCTCATAGACTTTTCTGCCCGCACTGGCTTTGAACCATGATCCTCAGATCTCACCCCCTGTGCAAACCACTCCATCAAACTTTCCTCCATGTAGATGAGGTCTCATAGACTTCTGCACAGGCATGCCTTGAGACCTAGGAGGTCCCATTCCAGCCTCCCATGTAGCCTAGGATTATAAGGTAGAAGCCACCAGCATCTGGCTTTGTATTTCTTTCTTTGCCGTTTTATCCAACACATTCCAAGAGATGTATGGTGATATTTACCTTGCTGTATCCTAAGCATTTCTTTTTCATCCTAATTCTCGTTTTCACTGTATTTCATTAAAATCTTTCTGAAACAATACTTAGTTCTCTAGCTATTATTTTTTTCAAGCTACAAAATGTACATATTTTACATCCCATTTATTTCTACTGCCTAGATTTTATGGTACTGGTAATATTGATAAGTATTCTTTGCCTCTGTATTTTGAAATAGTTAGGTCAGTAATCGTGACACTGGAATGGAATTCCTATACATCCCCCATAAGCACAGCTTCCTGCACTGTCTGCATCCTGCCCAGAATAGCATGCTTGTTGCAATCCATAAACTTATACTGGCAGGTAATCATTACACAAAGTCTGTAATTTACCTTAGAATTTATTCTTGTTTTGGATCCTATAAGTTTTGACCTGTAATTACCATCTTAACAGCTCTCAGTACTTTCATTGTCCTCAAATCCTCTACAAATTCAGTTATTTTAATAGCTATAAAAGAAGTTTGTATACTTAATTTTTAGATACTAAACACACTTTACCATTTCTTTTTTTTTGGGGGGGGGCCAGTCGTGGGGCCTGAACTCTGGGCCTGGGCGCTGTCCCTCAGCTCTTCAGCTCAAGGCTAGCACTCTACCACTTGAGCCACAGCGCCACTTCTGGCTTTTTTCTTTTTGCTTATGTGGTGCTGGGAATCGAACCCAGGGCCTCAGGCATGCAAGGCAAGCGCTCTACCACTGAGCCACCTTCCCAGCCCCAATGAGTACATTTCTTATCAAACATTGTTGCCTCCTCCTTTGTTTCCCCTTTCCATCCCTTCAGATCTCCCTCCCTCCCCCTATCCTCCCCCCCCTGCTCCTAGAAAGCTATTTTTTTAGTGATGACCCATGCTGAGCTATATCACTGCGTAAAGTGTCTTTTTCTTTTTTTTTTTTTCTTTTTGTTGTTATGCTGCTGGGCCTGGGGTTTGAACTCAGGGCCTGAGCTCTGTCCCTGAGATTTTATGGTCAAGACTAGCACTCTACCACTTGAGCCACAGCTCCACTTCAGGCTTTTTGGTAGTAGAGATAAGGAGTTTCATAGACTCTCCTGCCTGGGCTGGGTTTGAACCACAATCCTCAGATCTCAGCCTCCTGAGTAGCTAGGATAACAGACACAAGCCACAGACATCCTGCAATAAGATGCCTTTCAAATGAGAGTGATGTTTTTATTCAGTATGCTTTTCATATCTTCATGCTGATGACTTTGTTTCTGGGTCAACCTTTAGTTTCTGAGGCAGGAGGTTAATAAAAATATCTGCTCTATGTGTTAGAACTGGATTCATTTTAGCTGAAGTAAATTTAAAATTTAGCTGTGGCTTTCAGTTGGCTGTCAGTTTCATTTCTAGGTTTTTCATCTTTTTTGATTATATAATATATGGAGTCATGATCATAAAACAACTAGTTTTAAATGAGTCACCTTGTATGTTTAATAACTAAATGCAATAAGCTGCCATTGTTTATACTGAGATTTTTTTAAGGAAATAAAACCATATAAAGCAGAAATATAGTAAAAAGCAGAATTTGAAGTATGGACAAAATGCTTTGGAAGCTTAAATAAAGAAGAAATTAAATGCAGCAGCTGAAAGGGTTAGGGAAGTTTCAGTAGATCCAGGCCTGAAATTCAATAAACAAATTGGTAGCATTATCCATGAGAACTAACTTTGCCTGTCCCCCAGTCTTACTTTTTTTTTTGTCAGCTAATTCAATGATAAACAATTCATACTTCCACTTCCTCCAAACCTTTAACCCACCTGCTCCTTGCTTTACTCTGAGTACAAGATTTTATTTCCCAATCACAAAGAAAACAGTGCCACCTTCCTTCATATGCCTACCATAGTAACCACAAGCTTATTTTCACCCATATATGTTCTCTCCTTTTGTTGGAAAGCCAGTCCTTATAATCCTCTTGACCTTTTCTGGGCTTTCATTTAATTTGTGAGGGCCATTTTCTCCTATTTGTTGAGCCTTTCCTATTTCTCTGTATTATCACTCAGACTTTCTTGGTATACAGCATCTCAAAGTTGGTTCCTATCATGTGTTTGATAGGAAAATGGTGATGTGTTTGATTTTTAAAAATCCTACAGACATAATTTTAGGGGTTGGGTTTCTATATTGACAAAGGAACCGTGGAAATTGCACTAGGATGACTGTTCGTGTCCCCTCCCTAATAATACATATGTTGAAATTCTGCTCCCCACAATGATGGTATTAGGAGGTGGGCCTTTGGAGGTGCTTAGGTCATTAGGTTGGGCCCTTCACATATGGGATTAGTGCCCTTCTAAAGGAAACACACAAGTGGTCCCTTACCCTTTCTGCCACTGAAAGTTACAGAAGAAGATGGCTGCCCATGAGGAAGTATATACCCTCAACAGAAACCCAGCTGCTAATGCTTTGGTGTTGGACTTAATAGCCTCCAAAACATCAGTAGAAGTTTATTGGCTTCCTGGTTTATGCTACTTTTTTGTGTCAGCTCAAATGGGTTAAGGCAGAAACAAAACATGAATTAGATGCCAGCAGTATGCACCTTGCAGAGGTGTGTCCTCCAGGTTCCCTAGGATGTGCTTGAGAGATGAGTCTGCAAGTCACCAGGGGAGATTTCTCCCAGCACCAGAAGCTCTTTTTCAATTCTCACCAAATTATTTTTTTTTAATTTTTGCTGGTTGTGGGGCCTGAACTCTAGGGCTGGGCACTGTCCCTCAGCTCTTCAGCTCAAGGCTAGCGCCCTACCACTTGAGCCACAGCACCACTTCTGGCTTTTTCTGCTTATGTGGTGCTGAGGAATCAAACCCGAGGCCTCATGCATGCAAGTCAAGCATTCTACCACTGAGCCACCTTCCCAGCCCCCAAATTATTTTTTCTTTCCCCTCTACCTGATAATTCCTAAACATGGCTTTTGTGTCCACTTGGTAAAAAATCTGAGTAACTACTAAGAATTCATGTGTAACTATGAATAGGTGGATTACTTTCCCAGCTCAGCATCTGTTATGTCCCTTATCTGTTCAGGCCTCTCTGAAATCTATTTCCTTTCTGAAAAAACTTCCTTGTTCTCTTACCCTGCTACAGCTTCTAAGGGCTCAGTCCTTAGCTTGTTCCCTTCAGTGTTTCTTCCTGGTCACTCCACTGAAACTCATGAATTCTTAAATGCCTTCTGGCTATTTTTCCTTATTACTCATCAACCTCCTGAATAAATTATCTCTCCTGCCTTGAAGCATCTTTTCCTTTAGCTCTGCTTATTTTTCCTACCCCTTTAAACTCATCCTTTTCTACTGATTCATTGTTGTGAGTCTGACTTTCAAGGATTTAGTGCTAGGCCATCTTTTCATTCCACTTTGTTTCTCTGGGCCATCTCTTTCCATAGTTTCTATGGTGGTTAACAGCTGTCAAACTTCTATCTCTACCCAAATCTTGCCATGAGTTCCACTATTGCATAGCTAATGTAGAGGTCTTTTGTTCAATATGCTGTAAACCAAACTTCATTTCCCATTCTTTAGAAATCCAGACTTCACCCTCATCTAAATAAGAAACCTAGGATATACTTTGTAAAATGAAAACTTTTTCTATTCCCAACACTGTGACACCAAAGGTGTAGATTTTCTACATCCAGTAAGTTCTTCAGTTTTCTGTGGATACCAATTGGGTATCCTACAATTTAACTCAATTCTGACATTATCCCTAAATCAACACAGATCCCACAAGTTGCAAGTCTTAGTTCCTGTCCCTGGCTTCCTGTGCTGAGCACCAGTGGTAGGGTCAGAAATTACAGCATCTTTCTGAAATTACACAAATTATAGCTTCCCATGACCCCTCTTCAGTTCCAGCAATTTGTCAGAATCGTTCACAGAACCCAGACAAAGATTTTACTCACATACCAGTTTATTATAAAGGATATGATTCAGAAACAATCTGATGAGAGATGCATAGGAGAAAGTTTAG